GCCCAGTTAGTCTTTTGGGGGATATTGTAATGTTTTCAAAATTGACGCAATTTTGAGTTGCTGCCTTTGAGCAGCGTATATACCATGTAGCAGACTGAGAGTGAAAGGGGAAAGCAATTTTGAAAATCAAAAATTTTGCAAAAGGTTATAAAATTTGAAGTTGCTGCTGATCCCTGAGTACGTTTTTCACTCTGTTGGATATGGGGCTACTAACATGGGTAAATACCATCTAGATTAGGGTTGATTAGATCAGCCCCATTCATAACTACTGCGTGCACAGTAGACCCACAAACAATCAGCAGTTTTCTTTACTAAGGAGGAAACCCACGTTTGGTCAGCGCATGTGGCCTATAAAACATGACAGAGCAAACTACCTCCCTGTTATCCTGCCCCGGCCTGGCTAGTCCTTCACCTTCTTGTCTCTGTAGGGTTGACCCAGCATTTCAGGGGCCCAGGATGGTAGCGGTGGTGGTGGGGGTGGGTGGGGGGTCCTTTGCCCTAAAAACCGAGTTCCTCACCATCTGGACTGAAGAGTGTTAATACATTTTTGAAATCTCGTTTGTCGATGACAGATGCAAAATAAATGTTTTTTCTAACTCTTCTAGTCATCCAGAAAGTCCATTACCCAGAATGCTAGTTAAGCATCTGCTGTCAAAATAAAACTGAGCGATGGTTAGTAGTGTGGTACTCTAGCTCCTGTGAGAATTCTGTGGAAACCCAATACTTGTCCCGTGGCACATTTTTGTATGGACTTATTTCTCAAAAGCAGCCTTAAGATCAGTGGACATAAGTGCTGCATTCATTTCCCATGTGGGTGGTTAGAACTTTAATATCTTTAAATCACTTTCTTCATAAGAAACATAAAGACGCTTATTAGAGCCTCCATTTCAGGGAGGACAAGGGTTCTTGATTGTGAAAGGGAGTCACTTGTCCTATTGTCTATCAAAAGTAAATAAGGACGGACTTTTTGATGCCTCGATAAAATCTCCATAAAACATCTTACAGACAACATGAAGATGCTTCTGTCTAAAAGCAGGCACAACACAGCAGGCTGGAACTAAGGGACCTGTCGGGACAGTGTGCAATGGCCAGGCTAGATCACTGTCCTCAACTGTGGCCTCCAGTTAGACCAGGCTCACCTGAGCAGGACCACCCTTCTTAAGCTCAGTATCAGTCCATTCCCGACACTCGGGTTGCCTTTCAGGTCCTGTGCCTAAGGGCCATTGGGAACGCCGTAGTAGTCTGTGTTCACTGCTTATTCGACCCGAGCCAAACCAAAGCAAAGCCCCCGTGGGTTTCCGGGACTGTAAATCTTTAAGGGGTGGAAAACCTTGTCTCCTGCTTGTTCCAACAGTAATTGGTCCTAAAGGTAGTTCCTTTACGCTCTGAGGGGTGTCACCGTTTGCTCGTGCCCGGTGCCGTGAGCTGGTGTGGCGTCGTTCTGCCCGTCCTTTCTGCCATCTTTTTTAGACGGAGGCTGTCTCAGCCTTTGCGACTCCTAAGGCAGCGTTGTACGGCTCCACAGGCTTCTGAGGTGGCTGGCCGTTACCAAAGCAGACAGCCACATCTCCTGTCCCCTGGGGAGGCTGGTGGCTTCAGACTGCTCACACTGGGGTTGCCAGCCCAGCCCAGCACTAAGCACTGCCCAACCAGGGCTCTTCACCACTGTCAGGATCAGCCACATCTGTATCCAGTAGTTCAACTGTAATATCCTTGCGTTTTAGATAGTTGGCGGTGTTACTTCAGTTCCCACACCTAGCCTCTTTTTATTATTTTTACAACTTTCTGCTCGATTGTCAATAACTAGATGATAATTTTTACCCATAAGTGTTTTTTTCCCCCCTTTTGTTTTGATATGTGTATTTAAAAAAGCCTGTACATGAGGGTGCTTTGAACCATTTGTGGGAGAACTCCATTACCCTTTCATCCCATTTCCCCCACGGTGCAGACGTGTCTGTTCGGATGGACTTGTTTGGGTGAATGGACGGTGAGTGCATGCGGCGTGTAAGCCAGCCCCTGTTGGAGTGACCCCTCTGCTAGAAGGGCACTAGCAACATGATGACCCTTTTACAGCACTGCCGCACCGACTTGTTGAACATAATAATGTGTGCTCCCCCCAATGGCCGATGCTGGTCTCGGCAGCAAGCCTGGAGCCCGCTCAACTGCAGATCATCAAGTGATGCCCCTAGGCAGGTGACTGAGCGCCGGGCACTTGGTCTAGATCTAGAAGTGGTTTTAGAAGCATTTCTGGCCTAAAGCAGCTCATCGTGTTCAGGAAGGTGTGATCGGGAGTTTTCTAGGTGTTTGTGGAGGAATCCCATTATCTTTTGATCCCATTTTCCCACAAAATAGTTGAAACCCTCTTGTACGTTCAACTCTGGTTGAAGCCATATGAATGCTTCTACTTCTCTTTCCATTCACACAGAATCAGAAGAAGTCCATTCCGACAGAAGACCCATTTATTGATGAACATCGGGAGAGAGAAGAGGTTGAAATGTTGGCTAAGAAGTTTGAAATGAAATATGTGAGTATAAAAATCAGTGTTTGCTGAGGGTCTGTTTCATCGCTGGGGCTGGTTGGGTGGGCTTATAATGCCCACCTCCTATTTGTCCTCACAAATGGAATCAACTGAATAGTGGGACACCACGCTACCACCTTCCTGTTGTGTAAGTTGATTCCCTCTCCCAGGCTGTCATTTTTATGGAAGCAGACTGCCACCCCTTTCTCCCACAGAGTGTCTGCTGGGTTCGAACTATCGAACTATCAGTTAGCAGCCAAGTGCATTAATCATTGCACCCAGCAGGGCTCCTGAACGGCTAGACGTCAGATCGAAATTCCAATAGCTTCGTGGTGGTTAGAATAGTAAATGATTCCTTCTGTAGTTTAGGTAGTTTGCTTGACATATCTCCCGCCGTTCTGATAAAACTGCGAGTATTGACCACGTTTTATAGATGAAGGCGCTGAGACTGAGCTCAGTGTAAGGTGAAGTAAGTGATCTGAGATGGCAGAGTGGCAAGAAATAGGCTGCACACCAGGCCTGTCCAGCTGTCACCCCGTGCCTTTCCCGCTGGCCCCAGGGAGCAACGCTGCCGTGATCCCCAGCGTGATGGTCCTCACACCTTCCTGCCTTTTGAGGATTCAAGGGCATGAAGGTGTATGCGTCCAGACCTCTCAGGTCAGATGCAATTAGAAGCAGCATGAAACTTTGAAAGGGTTCCCCTTGCCTTAAAAATTCATGAACATTTTATGTTCTGTGCCACAACCTTTTGGTGTTTGTTTTCATGTAGAAAATCATTTTCAATGACCTGGCTGTTAAGTTGCTTATTTTTCATGGGGTTTCCTAGTACAGTTGACTGGGTAGACTCAATCCTCACGCGAGTTCCTCTTGTGATTTTAACTCCCTGTCAAGCTTTGCTGGAACATGTCGCCGTTGAGAAACAGAATTTCTCCCGCCAGGCCCGCCTGCTTCCCTGTGGAGTACTCACTGCCACAGCCGACCTGGCCCTGCCCCCCATCCCTATGACGCTCAGAATCCAAGGACTCGAGATCCGAGATCCGGAGACTGGGGTGGGACTGGCCCGCCTGGAGTGCCAGTCAGCTACTAGGCCGTGCTTTCCACCCCTCACTGTGTCCTCTCGGTGAGGTGGTTCCCTTCACAGCTTTCTTGGAGGGGTTCATACTTGTTGAAGGTCTTCCTGGGTCTTTATGCTGTGACTATGTAATAATAAACATAGAGTAGGCTAGTGGGTATTTTGACAGTAGATTTAGCCAAAGCTGTTATTCACAATTACTTGTAGAGTTTAATTATAATACACGTGATCAGATAGCACTGTATAATGATGTATCAAGCTTGAAAGTATATACTGCCTGTTTCTGATACAAGCTAATCCATTGGCTAAATGTACTATTTTAACCAAGCACTACATTTAGGTGGTTTAAAATGTATAGATGTGTCGTCACCCCCCCGCCCCCCAGCCCCTTGCCTATTACCAAAAAACCCACCCCCTGCTCTGTGTTTTCATTTACTGTCATGGAGGTGTTTTCATACAAGACAGAGAAAGCACTCGCTCACACTCTTTGTTCCACAAGGCTTCCTGGTATGCCATATATGAAAATGCCACTGTTTATGTGACCAAGTTGTTGTGATCAGCTCCAGAAGTTTGCTCGTATAAGTAGTGCTATAGTAAGTGACTTCGGAGTGTGGGTTCCTAGAAGTGGGATCGTTGAAGTCGAAGGAGCGAGCGTGTAAAGTCATGTGAGCACTGCCAGGCCTCGGGCCTCTGCGGGGGGGGGGGGTGTCTGTGTGACTCCAAGGTGCTGGAGGTCCCGCTTCGAAACCAGCCTTCCACTCCTGGAGCAGCTGCCCAGTGGTTGGGGTCCGACAGGGAGGGCTGGACCGGAAGTACAGAGCCCTCAAGGCTCAGGCTGCTCTGGGGGTTTCAAGGGGACTCAGAGGGGTGCCCATTGTTGGAGGCTGGTGTCCAGCCCAGAGGATGGCTGATTTCTCAGGAGTGGCTGCCTCGCCTTCAGGTGAGTGGCGCGGAGCAGAGGCCATGGTGGCTCTGGGAGGGTTAGAACAGCAGGCTGCCCAGCGGAGCCTGTCATCAATGGCCCCTGGCCTGAGTTGGGGCGCTTGGGTGTTTAATGCCTCAGTTTCTTGTCAGAGGACAGATACCAACATCATAGCTCACAGTTTTTGCCTACATCAGATGGAAAAACGGGTGGTTATGCATGTAAAATAACCGAGTGCTCGCGAAATGTGGGGTCCTGATTGGCAGCTACATTCATCACCCTCTGTGCTCCCGACCTGGCAGGAGGGCTCTGTCCCCTCCTCTTCTGAACTCCATGGGGACTCAGGGTCATGGTCTCCTGTGGGGTATTAACTTTTGGTCATAGGCCACCCTGGTGACTGAGCTTTCAGCTCAGCCCTGCTGTTACTAATGTCCTTGCTCCTCCATCCTTTGAACGCTCGGTCCAGATGCTGTGTAACCTGTGTGACCTTAAAGGCCACACCAGGTCATCTGGGACCTTTGAGAAAATGATTGGGCTGTGACCTGGGTGAAGTGCCATCCAGCTCGAGATGCTCAAAGCGAGCAAGTGGAGGTCTTTCTTGGTATCCTGTGGCACAGAGGGAGTCCCTGCGGGTGCCCACAGGCCCCCACCATTCAGACCCAAGGTCTGCACATTGCACCTGTCCCAGTGAACAGCGTGGGCTTCAGTGTGCCAGAACTTTCCACTTCTCCAAAGGTGGAAGCCAGGATTTTCCTCTGACATCTTTTTATCCTGGCTTGTCATTGAAACTGCTTCTAGTGAGCCCTGGTCAGCCCTGAGCCCTGGTTGGAGATAGGGCAGACTTGCCACACAGTGTTCTTTTCTCATGCATTTACTCCTCACTCAGTTGCCTTTACAGCCTGCCTTGTTTCCCTGTGAGCAGAGTGGGTGGGGACATGTGGGGGAGCGCATGCCATTTCCACTGTCAAGGGGAATGTGTTTGTAGGACGTGTCCTGGAACTGCAGGCATTAAATCCTAGCTAAGGCGAAAATTAAATCCTAGCTATGGCCTATGACCTGGGGCGCAGGCAGTTCTGGGAGTTAGTTGTGTGATTCGCTGCGGCAGGGATGTGGGCAATGCTGATTCAGTTGTATGGTTCAGTTGTGGGGGTAGCTGAGGCAGGGATGGGATGTGGCTGGTAGTACTGGTGACTGTGCTGAGGCAGGAGAGGGTGGCAGGAGTGGAATGTGAGGTGGGAGGAAGGGAGGCAGGCAGAACCACAGATGGGTCTCAGGAGGGGCCTTCTCTTGCAGCAGCTGCCCCAGGAAGAGCGGGCGAGAGGGTCCTGGTTGTTGAAATGCACTGGCGGCAGAAATTACTCAGCAGTTACCCCGCAGTTGGTATCCTCTCATGGTGAGCCATGTGTCAGCGTAGAACCGCCCTCCCCAGCGACTGACCCTTTGGACGATCACCAGGCCTTTCTTCTGAGGCCTTTCTGGGTGGACTCGACCTCCAGCCTTTGGGGGGCATGCTGCTTGTGTTCCCACCTGTAGCTCCCTGGGAAATGACAGGGAGTGTAAAATGCTCAGTGAAAGGAGCTCCTGGTTTCTCCTCTGCTCGTCCTGTGCTGTTTATCCCCGGCCCTTTTCCTGTTGTGCTGTGCTCTGGCTCTGGTAACGGGGCAAGGTGTAGCACTGCACATGAGTGTAAGCCCCGACGTATTGCTACTCGGCTCCCAATTCAGACATACACGGCCTTATTCCAAGCCAAACACGTTCAAACGTGTCTGTGTGAACAGTGCATGGCTACAGCCACGTTCTCAGCAGTGCCCTTCTTGAATCTCACTGGGTCCAGGGTGACTCAGAAAAACAGGCCAGTCCAGACAGTGACTTCTGAAGGATTTGCTGGGCCTGCTAAATTCAAGGCAGAGAGGGCAGCCCAGAAGCTGTTGGTGAATATTTTTTGGGATTCTAAAGGAGTCACCTTGATTTGCCCAAAGGACACAAAGTGATCAGGAGGGCTCGTTAGGAAGAAGTTTCAGGAAAATTGAAAACTGCTCCTTCTTCTGGGGTAGCAAGGGCTCTCTTAGGAGCATTTCTTTTTTAAAAAAATTTTTTTAAACATTTTATTAGGGGCTCATACAACTGTTATCGCAATCCATACACACATCAATTGTGTAAAGTGCATTTGTACATCATTCTCAAAACATTTTCTCTCCACTTAAACCCCCGACATTAGATCCTCATTTTTCTCCTCAGGACCATCTCTTTGGGAAACATAGCCCATCACCCTCCAGCCCGGCTTTTGCCCCTTCAGACTTTTTGTTCCCCAGACTCAGACACATTGAAAAGGAACACTTGAGTCTTCCTGGGATCCCCAAACTGCTGCTTTGGTGTGGTGGAAGTCAAGGCGCACCGAATGCGTCAGGGAAAAGTTAGCCAAAGAATCCCCTCTTTCAGAAATGTCTGGACCTAGATGGAGGAGATGTTGAGAAAGTAACACTTCAGATTTTGGTATTTCCTGCTGTAAAAAAGGGTTTCTATGTTTTTTTAGCAGTGTTTTTTGGCTTAGCCTCATAAATCTTACTAAATACCACGCAAGCCTGGGATCTGGCATGTCTGTTCCTGTAGGCTCCAAACGAGTCTTGTTGGTTCTCGTGGCAGGGATGCGGGTCCCAAAGGCCTCGGCCTCTCCTCCACCCTGGGGTCCAGACTAGAGCCCAGCGTTCGGGTGGCCTCGGTGCTCTCCTGGGCCGTGCTTTCCGACGGGGAATGAGGCTGCCCGTGTTCTCTTCACCGTATAAGACAAGAGAGCGCCTGGGGTGGGGGAAAGGTTTCTTGTAGTAGTTTCCCTCCCTCTCTTAGCCCAGTCATTTCAGAAGACCATGCGAGCCTGAGATGGGCTTTGCATTCAGGAATCTAAACCATCGGGACTCTGGACGGCTCTGAGGAGGAAGGAGGGCGTCCTGCATTCTGCGGCATCCTTCCCATTCATGCCACGCTGTGACTTGAGTGGAGAGACTGTGGACTCTC